GGTGGTGAGCACCCAGTAGGCACTCAATAAAAACTTGATCAACTTGGTTAGGGTTTGTACCCACCACCCGGGAAGCTGGGATGGGGAAGAGCCTTGGCAGAAATGTTGTCAGTGGACAAAGTAGCCCAAGAAAAATCATTTCATGACAGGGCAGTGGAAGCAAGAAAAGCAAAATGCCACCCCTCCCCGTTAGCCCTATCTTGGCAAACTGTAAGGACCCTGACACCTCACCACTCTCCTCTGCTGCTTTAGAAACAGACAGCCTTCGTGGAGGACCTGCTCTGGTCCAGGCACAGGGCTAAGCCTTTGCATTGTTGCCTCATCTCTTCCTGCTACCACCGTAGGAAAAGGTACTGCTCTTCGCCCTGGTCCTCAGGCAATGGAACTGAGGCTTGATGAGGTTAAGTAATTTACCCGAGATTATTCATTTGGCCAATAGTCAAGCTGGAGTCAAAGGATTTATCACCAGAGTTTATGCTCGAAAGAACACAATTTTTTTTCCAATACAGATATTTAAATATCCCAATCAAATAAATTACTAGAGGTTATTTCATTTCCTACAAATATCTTTAGAACCGAGAAGTCACTGATCATGTTTTATCCCAGAATTTTGTATAGCTTTTCTCCTCCAGCATCAGTGTGAACCCAGAAATCAAACCGGTCAATGAACTCAGCCTTTTACAAGCTCATCTCATAGAATTACATGGATTACCTCACTCCCTTTCACAACATCACAATAAAGAGTTTATCAGCCCCACTCGACGGCGGCAGAACTAAAACATGCAGCTGGTCATTGACTCCTAACTCATTTTGCCATCCAGACCCAATATACCAAGTCCTAAGTGAAACCCAGAATATGAGGTACTTGAGCTCCACCATTAGGATGAGATGAAATGAAACCTGGAGTTGATTCCTCATGGACCTAATGTCTCTAGGGTCCCCTTCTATGAAGTCACCCATTCAAACTTGTGGTTAAGAGCCACGTCAATTCCCTCAGCTAGTTCCTCTTAACATCAGCGGACTTCAAGGTCAGCCCAAAGCTCAGTCGGCTCTCTGCTTCCACTGAACACACTCAGAACTGTGTGTTCTTGGTTTGGGTCTGGGGAGGGATGGGGAAAGAGGCATGCTCCTATGACCTACAGCGGAGCTTCTCCAACTGTAATGTCCATGTGAATCCCATGGGGATCTTGTTAAAAATGCAGA